TTAGGGTTAACTATTTAAGAAAAATAATTTTAGAAGCTTTCAAATAACAAGGTTTTCCCACTGTAATCGAGGGCTTATAACCATTAACTTCTTGAAGATAAAATACTTCATCTAATTCTTTTCATGTCAACACAGTAAAAGCATATAGATATTGTGTGTTTATTTGCTGAGGGTCGTTAAAGATGTATAACCTAATACTTAATGAACTAAATCAATTAAAAATACTGATCATAATAATAATCTATGTTTTATTTATATATTATTATATATAAATAATTTAATAAAATACACCTAATAAATCCACAAAAAAGGGTGTTTTATTCTACCCTGCAATCCCCCATCCCTTATTCTTCGAATGAATAAATCATTCGGGTGGGGGAGGTGTATACAGCACAGTGGTAATGAATGGTTTCAACGTGCTTGGCTACAATAGGGTTGTATTCAACACCTATCTTGAAAACACCTTACTACAGCCAAAATTAAGACATTATTAAGTATTGCCATCTATAGTCTTTTAGAAAATTAACAGTCTCAGGGAAAAAGGAAAGGCATTAGACGCATTTAAATCATCAGCAATTTATTTTGCAGTTAGAATTCTAAATTATGGCGTTGCGTAAGTGTATATTAAATCCTGGTTGCTGCTCTGAAATGTAAAATTGTGAAACAATCAGCATTTTTTCTCCTCTGATAAATTGTGTTAAAAGTAATTTCTAAATACATATGGAACATTACACAAATGTAACACTGTAAATATAATAATCTGCCTTCTGAGGTCTAGCAAGTGTAACTCTCCCTTCCTTTGAGCTCTGGCTCAATTAATTTACCGACCCCTGGGAGAATTCTCCTTCCAACCAGAGCACAAAACAGTCTTAATGCTCCTGTTCCATTGTGCATTTTAAATGCAGCAGGTTGCTGTGACTGATGATGGAATAAAACTACCAGTCAAGTAAGTGTAATGAGTGGTCCCACCAGTGAAGGGAACAATTGCTACCTTTATTTATTTATTTTTTTACTGGCTGAAATAGTACTGTGTTTTTTATAGAGTCTATTTTATCCAAGCCAAAGAAAATAGCACAGGATAGGAAAATTCCCTTAATATCCTAACTGATCCCAGTTTCAATACTGAGTGACTTGCACAGCATCCTGCCTGCCATCAGAAAGCACTGCTCTAGTGTCAAAGCAAGCCCCGACAGATGGAAGCCCAGATTCAAACATCCTCCCCAACCACAAGAAATTCCCAACGCATCAATTGATGGTGTCTTTCTATTTGCCAGAGGCTTCTGGCAACATCAAAGTATTGGTTTTAGGAAATTATGATTGGCAAGTGGATCGAAGTCTTGACTTCAGCTGGGTCTGGGTCTGCTGACGTGTCTCAGGTGTTTGATAATACAAAGTAGCACACTGCAACACAAAATGAGCTGTAGCCTTGAACTAGGCTATATACAGTTTACGTATAATCTCGTCATTGATTTTTTATTACCATCAAAATAACATAAACTTTCATCTACAAAATGCTAAAACCTTTAGAGGGACAAAAAATGCATTCATGTTCTGCATATTTTCTAACACTACCAATCATTATAACTATTAAGATGAGAGCTACAAAAGTACCAGGATGCAAACTCAAATTTACAAAATTAAAAAAAAAATCTAAGAAAGTCTGGGGATGTGTTTGCCAACAAGCCGTACAGAGCTCATATAAAACTCCTATTAAGCATATAAAATCAACTATATATGAGACGATAATCCTTTGTGTGAATAATCTGTCTTTATTTTACACAGTTAAACTAACATATTTTAGTAAGAAAGAATAACCATCTCTTTACTCCTAAACACCTAATAAATGCTTTCATGAATGAGCTGAAAACCCTGAACAAGTACAGAGGACTACTGTAATATAACTCAGCCTTGGAAAAAAGCCTGCTTTTCACCTTGTCAGGTAATCCTGCTTAAAGCCACAATGACCCCAGTAAAAATATTGGTATGGGTCACGTGACTGTTCACCATAGACCCTACAAAGAGAATTTCAAAATGCCACCCCTTACATAGCAGTAGAAGGCGTTAAAGCTTTGAAGAAAATGAATTGACCTGAAGGGACCAGTCGATAAGTAATTAGTAATGAACAAGGCTCAGATGCTATCTGTACCTCTTGCGGGAACTTAACAGCTTCACTTTATGCTGGAGCCATTCTCCTGAACATAGTAATCCTGTAAAGGGGGGTATCCATTCTATCTACTCTGAAAAAAAGCATTCTTAGCAACAGCCTCAGACCCCTGCCCAGTCAATTAGGGACAGAAACCTCACACCGAGCAGTGCGGACCTGTCATGAGTTTGCCTAAAACAGGCATTAAACTGACCAAATTGCTTAGCGGCTAGTGGATTGAGAGGTCATGCCTCTGATCCCCAGATGGGGCTGCCCCAGTCTAGACTTTCGACTGACACAAAAGGCCTCCAGGGACTGTTTGCCCTTCTGTCTGACGCACAGATAAATTTCAAAACGATTACAAAGAGAAAATGCCCCGAGGATCTCAGTCAGCTGTTCAGTGTCTGATCTCTTGCAGAAGGGACGATACATGCTGCCAGCGATAAAAATGGCTCAAAGTATGCATACATTAGGCTTTCTCTGTGGGCCCCCTTTGCCACTACACGTACGGTGTGTTATTGTGTGATTAAGACGTCTACAGGGACTCATAGACATTGCATTTGTTGTACATTCTTGATACCTAAAGATAAAGCAAATACAACTTCATGACCCAGCAGAAAAATCAATGAGAACTGCTGCCTGAAAGGTGTAGAAAATTATTGTAATTAGGAACATTACCGTAAGAAGGATATGCTTACACAAGAATGAGATACCCAAGGATGGATACTTTAGGTTCTATATACAGGAGAAGGTAAAAGTATATTTTATTGTAAATTATTTCAAGTACTGGGTTCTAATTTATAAAATGAAAGAAAAATGAAATCTTGCTTTTAGTCAAGATGCTTTGGGGCTGTAAGTGCAATCGGTGTTAGCTTCAAACTGAGTTAACAAGTAAATGTGCTTAAATAAAAAAAATCCCTACAACTGTTTGTTCTTAAATTATGATGAATGACAATTAATGATCCTTCACCATGAGATCTATCTTTATTCACATCACTTGGCTATCCGTGCACTGCATCCCATCATATCTCATATTAATGTGCTTCATCGTGCAGGATGTTTAGAAGGGAGGTGAAAAAAACATGTTTTGATCATTGGACATATGCCGTGCTGTTGATGAATCTGAAACCAAGGTTATGCCTCTTTCTAGTACCTTTTAACTACAGCGCATACGCATATTCAAAACAACAATGCTATCTGAACAGTCGGAATAAAGAAACTGTCTTTAAGCTGTGTGTAGGAAATAAAAAGAAAGAGAACAGTTCATGCTAGATGGCTCCCTATTAGCACATCAATGGTGTCAGTTCAGGGCTCGATGGGCTTCTGCGCTTTGCCACACTTATTTACATCCTTTTGTCTTCCTCTGCCTGCACTTTGAAAGGATCTCTCCGGCGGATCAGTCACACACCGGGGCACACAACGGCTGAGGCTGGGCGTGCCGAGGCTCCCCTTCCTGAGCGGCCGGTGGGAAAGGAGCCAGCTCGGGCCGCCTGGCGGGACCGGGCTGTCGGAGAACCCCTCCGCCGGCTCCGGCCCCTGACCTGAACCTGGCTTTGTCGGGCACTGATCTCCGCAGCGCAGGGTCAGAACCTTCAGAGGTTGGCGTGTTGAACCACAGCGGGCGTCTTTGTTCTGCATTTTGTTTCATATGCTAATGAGGGCCTGCTCAGCAGAGAACTGGGAAGCATGGAAAGCAGCTCTGCAAATATAGCTGCCGAAAGATAAAGTGAGGGGAAAGCCCCACTTTGCATTCCATGGCTGACTATAGCTTTAAAGGCACTGTCCAGGCACCCCGACTTGAGAAGAAACTGGGTGTCAAGGGATTGGGGATCCAGAGTAAATATCAGGTTTAGGGTAGCACACAATCTGTGATTCATCTATGAAAATAAAACACATTTCACACAATAGTAAGAAACTATAAAGCCTGAACATTCAATTCAATTTCCTAGGTATAATTTGCATTAGTATCATGAAAAATATTCTCATTGTACTGTATATTAGACCAATATTTGCTTTACAGAGAAATTTAAACCAGAATTTCTTTTAACTATAATATTTGACATGGGACATGTATAAGCTAATATTGTTGCAATGTGTTGGCTTTGTTTTACATACTAACATGTACCTACATATAATACAATTTGTCACATATGATCAAATTGAATCATGTAATTTGTCATATCTTCCCAGCACAGCTCTAAGGTTGGGGTGAAAAGAAAGAAACGGTCATGTCATCTGTGCTGGTATGCACAGAGATGGTCACATTCATGAGCCCAGACCCTGGCCTGTTTGACATTTTAGGGTAGGTGATACTGAGTGAGGGTCTGCTCAGCTGCACTGTGACCTAATGACATGTCACACTCAATCTGCCATCAAATGTTTTACACGAAAGGGCATAGAATTATGTATACATTTAAACATTAAATGAAGACTTGTACATACACTGATGCAAGCAACCAAAAGGGTCATATCAACTAGGTTCCATATGTTTTCTACAGGAGGTCTGGATAAGTGATATACTAGGAGCACATATCACATGAGAAAACCTCACAGTGCTGTCAGTGGTCAAATGTAGACCAAAGGGGAGAATGTCCAAACAAATATTCCTTTCAAGGAGCACAGTCTTCATCCGAGGAGAAAGAAATCAGGGGACAAAGAAAGACCAGAATGCTGGAGTGTCAGATAGTGTCAAGAGCAGCATAATCAACACATGAGAAACCATGGATGGATTAATAAACAAACACACCGCTAGATACATGCTGATATGAAAAAATCCATCAAACGGCCAAAAAGACATGGTTTCGATACAGCAGAACTCGGCAGCAGACATCTGGTAGCACTGACATCTGCTCGTTACCTGCCAGATCTGCTCCTCGCTGAGCGAGGTGAGTCGGTCACTCTTCAGAACCTCCCGCAGGAGCTTGTAGGGAAGCAGCAGGACCTCCTCCTCATGGGACCTCAGCAGCTCGGACAGGTGCCTCACCAGGAAGCCCACCACCGCCTCCTCCAGTGGCGTCAGGTTGAACAGGTCGGCCAGCTTGTACAGGTCCAGGTAATTGAAACTGTTCAGCTCCTGGAGCCAAACACAAAGCACATCGGCCAGCAGGGTTACCAGCAGGTATAGAGAGAGACGGTGATATACAAGGCAGGCGCTGGGGAAAGGAAGGCATTAATACAAACAGTCAAGACCCACTTTGTATTCAAACTGACAATAAATACACATAGAGGCTTGCTAGTAAATTTTTAACTCTAGGGACAAATACTGTAATTATACATTCCTTTGTATAAAATATATTTAGTAAATACCAAGTACAGTATACTAAAATACTGTATATGCAAGTCCTAAAAATATGAGTAATTGCATCAGCATCTACATCTAAAACAAAATGCATTGCAAGGTTCAGTGAACATTTGAAAGAACAAAGGTCGTTTTTTTGCGTCGTTTCTGTAGATACTGGAGATTTAAAAAGAGAATGCAAAACACCCAGACAAGTAAAGTTAACAACAAAAATAATGCCTGTGGTTTTATTAGGCATTACTATATACTATATACAAGGAACAAAAAACAAATGTTTTGTTAAAAACCCTCTTCACTTAACAGAACTGATTGTAAATGTAATGAAGAAAATGTTTCAGGCTGCATTGAACAGAAAGTTCTTTTAGAGGAAGGCAAGTACAATTTAAATTGAATAGCAAAAAACTGATCTTACCTCGTATTTTACGATTACAAACCAATGATTACCATGTCATGTAACTGCATGCATGAAAAGGTAGAAATTATGTTAGGCAGCAGAATGATTTTAAAGCACAACAGTGCCAAGTTGTATCTTACAGTGATGTATTATTAGAAAAATAAATCAAGATTCAAGCCATCTATTTTTTCTACACTGAACCTTAACCTTCAAAATTTAATAAGATTTTTTCTCAGGTATTTTTTTCTTCGTAGTATATTTTAATGTTCAAAGCCATCTCTTTAATACTCTTTTTTAGTTTTGCATTCAACATATAAATATGCCCATTTCTTTGACCCTGCTTAAGTAAAAAAAGGACAGATATCTGAATAGCACAAAATTGGATTATATTGAAAGATTAACAGCAATTCTGTTATTAAGTAGGATTTGTTATTCTATGTATTTTACTGTTGATATTTTTAAAAGTGAATGTTTACTCCAATCCATTCATGAGAGGCAGAGCACAACAGCAACAGCAATCAATGAAAAATAAAAAATAATCAGTAAAGAAAAGCCCCTAGTCTGTTTGGGAGCTTCTCTTAGCTCAGACCCATAGCTCTGAAGAGGAAGCAATTACATGACCTCCTATTCCACCCTTTGTTTCAATATGAAACACTCTTGATATCAAAATTGCCCAGACTAGAAATACTGAGATATTTGACTGCTGTTCTATATCACTTCATCTACACAAATATCAGTTTACAATGACAATAGTATCCAAACTTCAGTAAATTAAGGGGCAGGAAGACTTCTGTATGCTTCATGTTATTTAGTTTACATTCTTTTCTTTCAGTATTGAGTTTCTACAGAAAATACAGAAAGTAAATACAATGGATGTGCACTACAGAATTACATAGTGTAATGAATAGCATTTTCTGCTTAGCTGTTTGTATTTTTTAACTTCAAATGACTGGGTTTCCAAATAAACAGGATAAAGCACAAGCTAATAAGAACAAAGAAAAATGCCACAGAACGGAATAAAAAAGATAACTATCCTGTTAGTCAGGCAGAGGATTTTGTTTAGGAAGTGACACTGATAAGCCTTGAATTAAAATATTGCCACAGTTAAACTGGAGCTGTTCACTGTATGTTAACCCGCCATCTTTTAGGATGCATTCCTCATGCACAGGAAAGTGCTGAACTAATGCTGTTTAAGAACAAATTAATGTGCACAGATAAAATACACCTCCAGCAGTGAGATAATAATTTCCCTTTACAGTATCATTATTGGACATGCTCCTTGTTTAATAAGATGTATTTAATTCATAACCTAATGAGTGATACATAAAGAAATGGAGATGAACCCTGCAATTACTTTCATGTGAGTGTGTCACCTTATTTGTGAAACCTGGGTGTAATCTGCATTCAATAAGAACAAATGACCAATTTTGCAATGCAGAGTGATAAATGGCCTTCACCACTACCAGCAAAGCTAAGAATCAGCTGCCAGTGAATGCTTTTTTTTGTAATCTGCTTTAAAATTACACCATACATTAGATAGTGTTAGGCAAATAAAGGTAATTTACAGCTGATTAAACCAGCGGTCTCTATTATTAAACCAAATTTATCATCTGAGCTAGAGGAGCGACCTGAGGTATTGAATGAAAACAGTGGAATGCTGCCATCTGCTGTTGATGTGTGCTCATTGTTTTATTTTACGCAGGGTAATAAAACAGCTACTGTACAGTACGTGCTCTTTTAACTTGTGACTTACATTAAGTTACCACTATGTTTACAGTTTTCTTATCTGTTATCTGTGCTTTATATACTTTATATTAAATTTTGGACCTGTCTTAAAACAGAAACCAGCTGCTTAACAAATGCTTCTTATTGCTTTCCCTGTTGTCAAGAACTGGATTTGCTATTTGTAATTGACAGCTGGATCAAATTTTACAGTTAAGTAAAATGTACTTTCAGTCCTAACAGCGATTGAAATTATCAAATATCTAATGCTGTTGCATTACTCTCCTGTGGATAGTAAGATACAGAGATTTATGTAATTCACCAGAATTGTCTTTTTGTTCATTCTAGTCAATAAGCGAAATTACGTTTTTACGTCTTTAACACCGTTAACGCGCTTTGTTTAACTTTTTAAAAGGCGTATGCCCAAGTGTATATTTTCAATGCTTCAGATTCAGGTCTATTTTTTTTTTATTTCGAAAATTTTAGAATTTTGTTACAAAAATGGATCCGCCTGATTTGAAACGGATAAGTTGTCTTTCACACCATAGCGCGCAGCAGGGAAGGGACGAGGAAGTGTAGGCAGACACGCCTACCTTCAAGACACTCCCGTTTCACATCTCCCAGGAAGCACAGCCCCGCAGGGGTGCCTCCGCACACACGGGAGGAGGGGCGTGTCCTTCACAAACAGCGCCGCAGGTCCGTACGTGCCTTGGAGGATAGGGCGAGTAAGCCCTCCTCAGCCAATACAGCACTGCTGCTCTGGGAATCCAGGTCATAGTCGGTTAGTGACATGATCTAGGATCGAAACCGTGGTTATGGCTCAGGCGAGAGCCGTAGACCACGGTTGATCAGTTGAGCCACACGGAAGGTTTTATGTTTTAACATAAACTGCACAATGGATATTAGACATTTAGGACAGAGAATAGAAAACTATACTCGGGGTTCATTCACGAAACAGGTTGACAGAGTTTTGGTATCACAATAAGTACCAAACAAGCAAGATATGCCAAATCATTTTACGATACAGTTCATAGCATTTATGTTTACTATACAAATAAGGTAAATGTTGTAATATGCAGTATGGAGCATGTAAAAATTGTGAACAACTAAAATAATTTTTGTACGTTTTTTACAAGACGACTGAATGCACAGAAGCAAAAAATCACAGTTTTGTGTACTGGATTAATGAGAATGATGCACATTATGATTCAAATTGACTTGAGATGACTGCCTCACAACAAAAGATTCATTTTTAAGACTTTTTTCGTGGTTGGTTATCCATTATTTTCAAAATTGTTCCACAACGTTTTTTTCTAAAAACAATATACGTTTTCAATTAATTATATGAGTGTTATCTACTTCTCTTTAGACTACAGAGACAGCATCATGTGTTATCAGTGCTAAAAACTCATACCATATCCAATTTGTGCAGAGAACTGACTTCAGATCAAACAGCACTAGGTATTGGCAAAAACCGACACAGAAAGTACATTGAAGCGCTCGCTCTATTGGTCAGGGGTCCTGGTGTTATGTTAGTACAGTGCAATTGTATAATATATTACTTGCACCGTGATGACATTTTTCCCCAAATGTATTTTATTTTCCTTTCAGGATTAAACTTTAAACTTCAGATGTACAGTACACTACTTCACTCAATCATTTTAGCAATGGTGAAAGGAAATGAAAAAAAAATCCACCAATTTCTGTTTCTTCCAGTGCCAAAGAAGCATGTTATAGAGGCTGCTTCGAATTAGGATTAGGATTTAGAAAACACAAATGACACAAATGAACTGACTTCTTATCTACTAAATTAATTAAATGATGTCATCAAAGTCTGAGATGTATATAATATAAGAAGTAAATTATATGCTGAAGGAAACAGATAGGATCACCCAAGAGGAATATTTTAGTCTCAATAGTGAAACACAGGCACAGGGTCTATGAAGGTGAAATTTAAGTGAATTAATAATGCAATTTAATAATTTCTGTGAACCTGTGGAAAAAGTATAATTTTAAGGAAAAGTGGACTTAACTGATAATGATCAGGCACATGTAAGAAGCTATGTCCAGTTTTCATGAGAAGAGAATAAAAATATGTTGTGTTATTTGTTTATGTTTACTATTTGTACTGTATATTTATTGCTCCTGTAGGGGTTTGATCACGGATGCTTACAGACTCCAAGCACACAAAGCACCACTCCCTGGACAGCCAATACCATATCCCCACCTCACCTTAAGGCTGGTTGACTGCACAGCAGAGTTTTACACCTCCCTGTTTCATAATGTATATTCCTGTTCCACATCCTTCCTCTAGAGGGCGCTCCTACCCTTTTCTGTTATGATTAGGATCTATTATTTCCTGGTGTGTCTTGTTCGTATTTTGGTTAAAAGCATAGCGTCTCCGCAGTTCCGGGCTCAGCACTGGAAGACGGACGTCTGAAGGCCCGCCTATCCATAGTGCTCAGGAGAAGCCTGAGGGCAAGGCCTTTTCCCCAGGCGTCCTGACCTTCTGAGGCTGGGGCTCGGAGTGCTTGGTCCCGTTAAGGTTTTGTGATCCCAGTCTCAGTTCCCCTTCCTGGGGATTTTAATGGTCCTCGTCCCAGAATGATCTCCCGGCCTCTGGACAACGGACTGCACCCTGATAACCCCTTTTTGGACCCCTCTGGACTTGGTTGCCTCCCCCCTGTCTGTCAACCCATCCTGACCCTGCAGTATCTTCCCCTGATGTCCTTCTCCAGACCCTTCCGGATTATACTATTACACATAGGGTCTTTAACTACGCACTACACGGGAGTCAGAACCGGCTCCCGTAACAATTCCTACGTAACTGAAATTTTAGTTAAAGCTATTAATCACAAATGGTTGTTATCAGATTGTCTGTGAAGTACTTTAACATTCATTCTTCAACTGGATTAATGACCTAAAAAAAGATAATTCAGGATTTCCTGTTGTAATTATGATAAGTATGTGTCATGGAATATAAAAGGTAATATGTGTTTAGCAATATAAATGTGAGTACTGTACATATGTACACAGTGTGTTGTTTTATATGAGGCATTTTAAAGTGTACGTTATCACCAGTGTAATTGAAGGAACCAATGTGTTAGATTGTTTTTGCATTGCTCCACAAAAGCTCTCAGGGCTCCACAAAAGCTTTCATTGCTCAGAGAAAGCTGATAGGTAAGTCTGTATAACAATATGAAACTGTTAAGGTCTGTTTAAATTGAAGCTACTGTTTTGTTTTTGGTGATCACAATTTTATGCACGATTTTCAGAAATTGCATTCTAACATCAAATATTTGATATCTACGAATAACATTTATTCATAAAGTGCCTTTCCAAAACCAAGGATTATACAGTTATAAAAATACATTAAAAAATAAAAGAAACAAAGAAATGAGAACATACAGCATAAACTTTAAGACAGTCAAACATAGGACCTAGTAAAAAGGTCAGTTTGAAATTTAGATCTGAAAAGAGTCAAAAAATATCTCAAAGAGTCAAAGGAAGGGCATTCCATAACAATGGAGCAGTGGCAGGAAAAGAACAGTCTCAGAAAGTCCAAGATTAGTCCGGGGTACAGTAAGCAAAGGACCAGCCTCAACTGAATGGAGCCTATGGGAGGGAATGTAAACATGAGTTATCTATAGTTATAAACAGTTTAGATATGTATGATGGAGCCAGATGATTTAACGCCTTAAAAGTCAGTTACAAGATCTTACACTGAATATGTGACTTTATAGGCAACCAATGTAGTGATTGAAGTGTAGGAGTGATGTGCTTCCAGTGTCTGGTGGGAGTTAGAAGTCTAGCTGCAGAGTCTTGAACATTTGCAACTTACTGAGAAGAGTGTTTGGGAGCCCATAGAGGAAAGAGTAGGAGAAATGAAGCCTTGACGTTATAAACGTGCGAATCAAGACCTCGGCATCGGACATAAATAGAAATTGCCTAATGTGGGCAATATTTCCCAGGTGTAAAAAGATGTCAAATTTTTCACATGGGGCTCAAAAGACAGGGGAAGTTCAAGTGTGACTCCCATATTTCTGACTATGGCTGAAGTGTGAATGGGAAGCATTCAACTACTGTATTACTGTGAAGCTCTCCAGCTTTTCCAGCTGACATTTGTTACCAATCAGTAAAAGTTCTTGTCACTATTTAGCTTTAGGAAGTTTTATGTCAACCAGAGCTTCATGTCACACAGAGAAGACATAAGTGACAGAGGAGGAAGATCAGAGGGGGGAAAAGGTATTAGCCTACATCTGAGTATCATCTGCATAACAATGAAACTGAAGAGTTTGTATACAAGTTTGTATATAATCTGACCGAGACAAAGCATATAAATAATAAAAAGCAATGGGCCCAAGACTGAACCATGAGGCACACCTTGATTGACTGGGGCCATGGGGGATTTTTGAAGACCAAGGAAAAACATCATGCTGCCTGCCAGTCAGATATGAGTAGAAAAAGCTAAAAAAAAACGTACCATTGACAGACAATAATGTTTGCAAGCATTTGAGTAACAATGAATGTTTTACTGTATCAAAAACCATACTAGGATCAGGGAGCATAAGAACACTTACAGCCCCAGTGTCTGACACAATAAATAAATCTTTCATAACCCTGACAAGAACAGTCTCAGTTATGATTAGAGTGAAAAGCAGAGTTTATAATTCTCCATATTTTCACTGTTCTCAGTGTTCTCCCAAAAACTATTTTCTTGATTGTGTATTGTTCATTTTTGTTGTTTTGCAACCTCCTTTCAAATGCAATTAGCATTTTGTCTTCACTAAATTTAAATGCAGTTAATATTTCTCATTATCCTCTAACATTGGGATGTTGTTGGCATTAACTCTACTAATACAGTATATAACATCATATTCCGGTTACTGTACACTATTTAGGTCCCAGTTCTGTTAAAAAGAATATTGTTGGAGCATCTCGTTCAACAAGCATAAAAAAAATGCGCAAAGATATACACCGACCCCTTGCTACATGAATGCTCAATTCAAGAATTTTTGCTATAATAAAACTTGTATTTTTAAAATCTGTTCATCACCGTATGAAGCCATTTTTGCTCGTCATAGGTCTTTCCCTGGTTATCTCACTGTGATTTTAAGATTTGTATTATATTCCACATATAATGGCAAGTGCTTTTGTCAGGGTTTGGTGTGCTTTTTTCTCCACTTTGTGTCTATGTTCTTCCTTTAATCAAGGTCTCCAAGCTTTCCATGTGCAAGCAGTATGGCAGGTGACAATCAATGAATGACATAGTTCATCAATTACCACATAGTTAGTGGTGACACATTAGACTGTGTGGGGGTACTGAACAGGCTGATCTGGACCTGAAACAAGGGTGTCAAGGATGTCGGAAAGGACGAACTGTGGAATGACAGGAGAGCGAAAAGACCCTACGCGTAGCGGCGAGACGGGGGTTAGCCGGGCTCAGCTGTTCAGGAAATGCCGTATAGAAACCTATCCCCTCAGGTAGCGGACGTGGGGCGACCTGGTGCTAGGCGGGTCTCAGGACAGCCGAACGTCAATGCTGAGCCAGTAGCAGAGCAGAAGCAGGAAATAAATAGGCTACACAACAAGACGCACCAGAAAGACAAGAATAATCACAGGGAACTAGGAACAGGAGGAAAGTAGAGTGCTCTCTAGGTGTACTGGGCATGACAAAGGGGAAAGAGAAGAAGCACAGGGTACAAAGGAAGAAGGGATAATGCTCTGTGACACATGGACAACTGCATGCAGTCACTTCCTTAACTAAGACCCAATTTAGGTTTACCTATCTCCCATGATCACCTGGACAATCCTGTCCCTCATTCAAGCCCTGGAGTAGCTATAAGAACATGCCTTTTGCCTACCTGAATGAGATACTGAGAGCACAGGCTGAGGAGCTCCAGCAGCTGAAGATGACTTCCTGCTGCCAGTACATCTTGAATGATACCTGGCTCCAACAATATCTAAAAAAGAAGAAAAAAGAAATTGATATTTATAGTGGCATACTGTAGTAATTATATTGATATTCATAGTACTTGGTTTGTACTTTATACTTGGACCCTAACTAATAATAATTTGGTTAGGTAAGATGTTTACCAGCTTCTATACAAAGAGCTCCATATTCAGGAGCATTTATCACAGCACAGAGTCTTCTATCTCAGCACAGCATCTGCAGGATCCCGTCTTCACGATATGTGTCACTTGTTCTTGTGCTCTCTTCCTAGTTCAGCGATCGACTTGTATAGGCTGGAGCAGGGGGCACAGGTGTTATGTGCTCTAGTGAATGCCAGTATCAAACATTGTTTGCCTGGCACTTCGAGAAAAGTAAAGAATCATCTTGCAAAAGTAATCTTGCACAGACTCTGTCTTCGTGGCATCACAAGATATTGATTTTGAAATAAGGTGCAAAATTGGTTGTATTTTATAAATATCCATCAAGTTTTAAAAAAAAATATATCAGACGTTTAATATAATATAATTTTTATATCAGACTTCTAATTCCTAAATTTGGAAGTAATGCTAACACAATAATGAGATCTATTCCTGCCTCATATTTTTTATTGTTGTGACAGACAATAGTTTATTAAACAAGTGACCAAATGGCCACAATTTTGCAACACATCACAGCATTGATTTCATTACATTTTCACTGATATGCTTGGAGATATCGGAACATTTAGTGAACACCAATTCACCAATTCACTGATTTCCATGAGACATAAATAGGCAGACATTCAGTGGGTTTTTCAGCCTCATCTGTGCTACATGCACAAAAAAGTGTTTTATCCACCAACCATTACCTCTAAACCCTTGTCTCAATTGGCACATTAACCACATTTGATGCACATGCAACAACAATCCTATCTCTTGTGAGGTCACATTCAGCCTTCTTTCCCATAGAATATCACAGGGATCTATATTTACACAATGATAAATATTCTGATATACAGTAGTTCTATTTTAGACTAATGTGCAGATGATACCAAGACAAGAGGATCAGCAAACTGTAGAAGTGACAAAGGGGATTCAAAAGAGATTAAATTGAAGAGTAGGCACACAGTTGGCAGAGGACATTGCATATTACCGTACATTAAGTAACCTTTAAAGGTGACCTTAAGTAACATTTATCCAGAAAAGACAAAATAACCATTAGGGCCACACAAGACCTCTCTGAAGTGGCCACACTACGTTTGGAGATCTTTGCAGTTGTAAAGTCCCGAGTTGCAGAGTTTCAGAAAGTGCAAGTCCAGTTGCATGATTTAGAGTGCTTCCAACTATCCACCAGTGGGAGGTCTGCTTCTTAGGCAGAACTGGGCTTCGGAAAGACTAATAGGTGACTGGTCCAGGAAGACCATCTTAATATAATAAGGCATAGATTCAAGTCAGTTAGTGGCAATGTACTGTAATTAATTGCAATCAAAGTTGATGTCCAGGGTAGTTTCCTTTAAATAATTATATCTGACATTCAGGAACTTTGTGTTGGTGAGGAGATCCCAGAGATTTATGTTACAATTGATTACACTAATAGCGATTCTCGCTGCAGTAAAATCTCCAGTCCAGAATTAGAACAAACTCCTGTAACAGCATCACAAGCAGCAGATAAGCCTGTAACACATGGTGATATAAATACTCTTACCCTTTTATTGAAATGAGGAACAGAGCATGTAGCCTGAAAAGTAGCCTGCCAAGACTGCGTAACAACATGGAGAGTACTCAGAGTAAGTAGTATGACGGAAAGAATAGAGGAGAGTCCGGTACTGTAGCTTTCATAGATGTGAGGGTACTGTCTAACAGATAGGACTGAAAGTGGACTTGAAAGTCTGAGATGGATTTTCAGACTTTTCTGTAAAGCAAAAAATAGATGTGTGAAACCAACTAGAAAACCAGATAGATGTAGTGGTAAGAGAACTGAAGTATAGCTTCTGCTGGCGCAGAGTTAAGGACTACAGCATTCTTTTTTTGGAGGAGCAATGGCCCTGTCTGTGAAGTTGGCTCCCCTACAAATAGTGTCTCACAAATCTTTTGTGTGTGCCAGTTTCTGCTCTAGACACCAGCAATTGGGGGTTCTTTGGTTTCTCATATTTTAAGTATTGTTTTTTCTTGGAAAGTTTATTCCCATTGTTTTGTATTGTACTCAATGTCTCTGAGTCATTCACTTACTCTTATTCAAGTCAATAACACTTCACTCAACAAATCAAACTCATTTCAGTAATTCTGTGGTGCTGTTTCCTTCAGGTGAATTGCTGATCTGAACAAATCTTTCGAATAGATTCAATAAACAACATCCAAGCTCTAGTAGGCTGATTTTTTTCACTTTCAAAAAATCATGTTCAAGGCACCAATAACCAACTCTTTGACCGGATACAGAAAAATACTTTTCTAGTTCCACCAATCAAAATACAGTATATTATAATATGAAGCTTTAAAACAAGAACAGGCAAACTACGAGTCTAGGGGCACAGTCTAGCTGCTTGTGAGATATTTTCAGCCATCCCATGCCAGCTATTTTGAGTTTTAACAGTTTTTCAAATACATCATTGCTAAAAACAGAAAATAGCATCTGTCAGTTCAGTTTAAGAAAGTCGTAACTGCAAGAATTGAAACTGAGAACAATTTTTTCTGGAACTGCAAAGCAAACTGTGCATGTGATTTAACTGTGGAAATCTTAGCATGTCTGAATGAACTAACAATGTTAATTGAATGAACATCTATAACGTTATTTTTTTGAGTCTGTGAAGTCAAATTAGTGCAGTTTTCAAATAAAATGAAGGATAAAGTGTTTGCTCATTTTCCAAGATGCAGATACAGACCTTTGGAAAAGTATTCAGATCCTTGTACAGGTTTCACATTTTCTTGCTTTAAAGCTTGCAGTCATGAGACAATGAAGTAAAAATAAATATTTTTCTATACTGTATACTGTACAACATACTCCACACATTTAAAAAAAGTAAATAGTCAAAGCACAGTGTCAAAGCAATACTAGAGTGGCTTAAGAATAAGAAAGATAATGTTCTTAAATAAACCTGAGAGAGCCTGAGCGAATCTGCCTAGATACAGTACATGGGCACAGATTGCACCAGCTGTTAATATACAATACTTTTAGCCTTAGAAATCTTCAATCATTCAGATGTTTAACGGTAAGAATGGCTTTAATACAGTATTTTAGTACACTGTTATAATACAATATTTATAATAAAAAATATATATTAGCATATTTTAATCTCTTATTTTCTAAATTGATTAATGTTTCCATTCTAAATCTGCTCATCCTATTGAGGGTTGCAGCAAGAGTGAAATTAACCATGAGATTGCTTGTACATGAGGCTGCTGTACAATTTCCATGTCCACATTTGGCCCACTGGCCTAAAGGTTTTCCTTCCCCAGCTCTACATAACAGTGAAAATCATACGTATCGAGTCACTGAAGTAAAATTTCTGTATATTGAACATTTTATTTGTTGAAAAAGAAAATAAGTCATAGGAACACCCCCAAACTACCACTTGTGATTACAGTTTTAACTTGGCAAAGCATCTCCAAGGAATATTTCAATAGTCTGGTGATGTTGATGGGTTGCAGACTTGAAGCAGATTGCATTTAACCAAATATGAACTTAATGTTAATTTAATTTGTTCCAATACTTATCCTCCCCTGAAATAGGGGGTCGGCTGGCAACAAATGACAATGTTTTAACATGGCTTAACACGTATGCAAAATAATACCCAGAAACAAAAGCTGAAATTCTGTACCTGTTCTATCCTTGATATTTGATTTATTTGAAATGCATGCAACTTTCATGAGAACACAGCTAAAATACCTTTCACAGTATAGTGTCAGAAGCAACCCCCACACAGCCACTTCTTGTAACTATAGCAAAAGTTACTACACAGCTGTTCACTCCATAGATGCACAGTCTGGCAATACAGTATCGTAATGGTACCCAGCCTTATGCACAAGGATGTTAATGCCCCTTTGTTTAAATATCTGTATTGAAAATACCTATTTATTGAAAAGAAATATTTAATTTTACATTATTTAATATGCAAGACCAAGTGATAAAAGTAAAAATGCTTCTGTTAATACTTTACAATTGTGCATTATTGAATCACAATGTTAAATGGCAATGGCATGAATATGAGTTGGCAGTGGAAAAACTAAAGGATCTGATGTATAAAACACCACCACAGTATTTGTAAGTTACAAACACGCCACTAGGTGTCACGCACATTTCAAACCAAATGAAACCCTTTCTTTATAAATTGTCCCACAGTGTTTATTAAGTTAATACAATTCTATGCCTTACAGTCCACTGAAGAATCATTTTTTCCTGCATTATAATGTAATGTCATGTACAGTATGTCACTGGCAAGGAAATCTTCACTGACAATTAACAGGACTGGTAGATATTGAAACGTTTAAAATGAGGAACAGAATATTAATCAATTTATCTCCATGAATTTTTTCAGACAAAACTAATTTAAAATAAAGGTTTTAAAAATGCCCAAGTTCAACTCCTAATAAAGATGATCATTAAACCAATTAATCTTAACTTTCATCATTTCAATCAAATCTTTGCACTCTGGAAGGGAGCCACTGAAGTACAATGCCCATGTTGCGCATTGACGTGTGACGGCTCTTCTGAGCCAGCAACAGTTCATATGGAGAAGTGAGAAATGACTTCATCAACTGAATTAAAGAGGAAAATTAGGGAGAAGCAATTGTGTAAACCCAGAGCATAATTTAGCCAGAAACTGAAGTTATCACCCCTACTCTTGAGTACAGTGCCATGTTTAGTGGCCAAGCAATGAGGGCCTCTTTTTAACATATCAGTCAGAGGATGGATGGGATGTTTCAGCTAGCAGTCTTCATATGCTCCTTGCTTATATATTTTTTGTATCTGAGATTCTCATATTGTCTTTTTTAATGCAATAACTATTGTTATAAAAATGCTAATTTATCTTGAATGTATACCCATGTTTAAGATATTTGGTAAAAAAAAACATTTGTTTTGACAGTTACTGACTATCATTTGAAGATGTATTTCCAATGAGTATAGGGACAATTACTGTATATGACGCATGCACAGATTTTCCTACTACATATATATAGATTGTTGGCTCAATCTTTATGATCAATCCCTATGTCAAAGTATATAAATATTTGTGTTACTGAAACCTAATTGAAATTTCCTGGTAACAGTTGTGGTAAAGAAAAACATAATTTATTCATAAACACTACACAACGTGATAAAACTACATGCATGAAAACCATATACCAAAATAAAATTTTACAGACCAGGTCCACTGTTACATAGTAGCAGCAGAAGAATAGCAGAAAGTCCTTGTCAATTCTAGTCCTTCCAATTTTCACCATTATTCTCTCAGCCTGGAGATCTGCTCTTATCTGCTCTTTAGACTAAATGTAAATCTTATTATATTGCCAATGATGTCATTTATTCAAATAATCATAATTGTAGATAATGCATGCTGTTATATAGTGTTGTACAGTGTTTATGAACCACTCTACAACACAAGATAACAACATGGTAACAATGAGTTACCATGTTGGTTTTTAGCCTACCTTTTTTTAGCCTACCTAAAGTAAAGTGTTTCCAGGTGAGATAAAAAATGTTTTTTGTATTCAATTGTTACAAACGGGAGGGGTAATGTGTGATTAGTCAAAGTCATGCACTAATTGTCATAATTAAGGGGTGTAAATACATTTAAAATAAGGTGAAAAGTAAAAAATCATATCCCGACACCAGCTGCCTAGCAAGTAGTTTTCTAAAAGTTAAATAATAAAATACCTCACTAGTTAGGGACAGCTGGTTATGGGCATGGGTCTTCTTTGGTCCTCGGACAGAAAAAGAACAGCCAATAACTTAGAAGCCACAAATATATTTTTCTTTACAAAGAGTGATAAAGACAAACACATTAACTATTGTTTACAAAAATTTCCAAGTACCAGGGCCCTCTGCCCTCATCAGAACCAAAACTTGGTCACCTGGGTCTCTCAATCATAACAGATTCCAAAAGAGTCCGTAAGAGACAAATTCAGTATTAGGGAGTTCAAGCCATTATAATACAAAAGGAACCACTCTGGACAAATTTGCTCCCTAAACTAAAGCCAGACTGGAAGGAAACCTATACTCAATAAATGTATCAAAATAAAGCAAAGAGGGGTTTCTCTTGCCTGGTGGTTACCACAAAGAGGAAATAAACATTTACACAATTCTAAGAATACTGTCCATTTACGTCGCATTAGAATTCTATTACCTGGTTAGTTTTTGTCCTCCTGGGATACGCATCAGATTGCTGGAAGTCTGGTTCTTAAAAGGTAGTGCCCATTCACACAGTGAAGCAGCTTTTTATTGGTTAAAAGAGAGAGTTAAAATGGCTAAATGTCTGGTTTGCTGAGTTAGTCTCCTGCTGTAGTTTGGTCACTATTTTGTATGAGATTTCTTTCCATTACTAGGGAATTTCTCTAGAATGTAAATCTCTAAGATTATTGATACTTTTTACTTATCACTACTTCACAGGTTTCCCTATTGAACTAAGTGGTCACGAGAATGCTTAGCCACTATATAATAATCGAAATTGGTATTATTATTATTATTATTATTATTATTATTATTATTATTATTATTATTATTATTATTATTATTATTATTATTATTATCTCCGTGACACATTATAATGTTTTTAAGTGTTTATCCAATAATAAAATACCAGTAAACACCTAAAATGCCTCTCATATTAACTTGATGTTACCGAATTCTCAGCAGATAAAACCTTGACAATGTCACAGTATCGGGATATGTAAAGGTTCGATACTGAAGAGCAGAGAAGTATTTTGTTACCATGGCAGAACGTAATCTCACTACTCTACTGTTTGAGATCACATCAATGAAAGGATAAAGGAAAAGCAAACATAGAAAAGTGAAACCCCTTGCCTCCAGGCTATGACGTACAGTATAATGCAAGAGGAGTGGTCCACTGTAATGTAATTGACAGGCCTGTGAATGTGCTGGGACAAAAGCATGTGTTGCAAAGGAATCAGATTTGTCAGCTAACAGATACAGATCCTCAAACCCAAGATGTCTGATTGTCAAGTGCAGGCATAGAATGTCTTTCTCAGTCAAGAAGGGAGGTGTAAAGGTCAGAACAGTCAGGCAGAAGGAAGGCATCAATTACTTCTAACAAGTAAGGACTAGCAGTTCAGGGTTTGTTTTGCCAGACAGATTGTAACACAGTATACACAGACAGACAAATTGCTCATTTTGTGGAAAACACAAATGGACTCGCAGCTCAATGCTGACCTAGATAAGACTCTGCCTTTGTCTATATTCTGTTAGGGAATAACTTTATGGACAAAAAAATGGTCATTTATTTGCAACACTGGCACATCTTCCCATAACCCGCTGAAACTGCAAGCAGGGACAAGGGAAAGGTCTTCTTATTTAAAGCCATTAGCTACAAGGGCGAAGAGGGTTGAAAAACATCAGTGTTTTTAAATAAACTTACAATGTAGCACTTAACATGATCAAGAGTGTACAGCATGAATGTACCGCTCTTGCTTGCAATCATTTCAACTGCTCCCTTTGTGTCTAATCTTAATTCTTACACTTTATACTTATTCTCTGGACACTCCACTCAAAGCACTTTACAGGTAATGGGGACTCCCTGCCACCACTACCAATGTGTGCCAGTATGCTCATTACACATCAGCCTTAGTGGGGGAGAACAGTGTGATGAAGCCACTTTATAGATGGGGATTATTAGGAGGCCATGATTGGTAAAGGCCAATGGGAAATTTGGCCAGGACGCTGGGGCAACACACTGTTTTCGAGAACACCCTGGGATTTTTATTGACCGCAAAGAGTCAGGACCTCGGTTTAACATTTCATCCAAAGGACAGCGCCTTTTTACAGTATAGCGTCTCTGTCACTATACTGGGGCATTAGGACCCATACAGACCATAGGGTGAGCATCCCCTACTGGTCACACTAACACCTCTTCCAGAAGCAACCTGTTTTTCCCAGGAGGTCTCGCATCCAGGTACTGGCCAGGCTCACACCTGCTTAACTTCAGTGGGTTACCAATCGTAAGTTGCAGGGTGATATAGTTGTAAAACACTCAAAGTCAGCAGTCTTTCTTCTACTAAGAAAGGAGATAAACAAATAAAAATATAAAAGAAAGACCTCCCTTCCAATGAGCTTTTAGAAGTGACTTAGTTCTGTTATGTTCTGCATTTCTGCTTAGTTTGTGACATCGACTCAGAAAAACTATGAAATTGCACATAGCATAGAAAACCTTTCACACACATTTATGTTACCAGAACAGTTGCATGATGTTACAACAGTATTGTTTTAGACAGTAGTTTCCCATGTAAGGAAATCCTACTTACCTGTCCTGTATATGCAAAATCCAGGGCCTGCTTCAGTCCTACACTAGTAACACCGTGCAGATTCACTTCATCAGCTTCACTCTCCACCATACACAGACTGAACATCGCCTAAAAGAATTAAAAAGGGCATTTATGGTTCAAGTACATGTTTGTTATGTTTTTCAAAACAAATACTTATTAAACATGACATAAAAACACCAAAACATTTTAGTGAAATGAACAGATTGCTCCAGGAATCTGTGCTTAAATCAAACTTTGTTTAGCATACTCAACACAACACAGCCTTATGTGTATACTAAAACAAACATGTACACAGTATATACTAAGCATCAAAAGAAACAATCATTCTATTTTATATAGCATTTTGGATCTTGGTTAAAGTGTTTTTGAGATTATTTTGTATTTATACATGACTGACTGTGGAAAACTCAGTTTTGCTGTACTGCAAGCAATGAATCATCTCATTAGGGAGACAGTTGATTGGGCATTGGTGACTAGGTGATTTACCTTAATGATGGTCACATCTGGTGAAATTCAAGCAAAAGAAATACAGAAAAGAACCTTCTTATCAGTAGAACAAAACCTTCAAGCCATCATCAGTATGTTAGAGCAGAACCTGAGGTGGATTCACCAGCAGTACAGCGAAGTCCTGTTTATTGATGAAGCAAGGTTTCATGCAGACCACCCTGATGAATGTCAGCAGTGGTGCAGATGTGTAGAACAATATGTTAACCGGTAAGCACAACGGACTACTTGATGTTAAGGTCCCATTGTGATTGGACAAGCAAGAGTTACTATTCCCTCCAGAAGTCCAATTGTAATGATTGATTAAGTCCTTACTTGTTGCCCTTCCTTGTTGCCCTGAACTGATAACATTTCAGCTGGACAATGCAAGTCTTGTCATGTAAAAACAGCTTTCTTACAAGATTAGAACATGACTTTTTATGCACAGCAGACTTGAGCTCCATTTAACATTTGTGGGATGAGCTAGGATGAATTGAGGACTAAAGTGCGATGAAGCAGAACGCAAACACAAGTGAACAGACACATGCTTGTTGTAAAAGCTCCTTCTGTATAAGTGGAACGGGGCAGAATCCATAATACAGCACCTTCAACCTAGTCCAAAGTATATACTGTAGACATACAATCTGTATTATTTCAAATGGTGTCCACACACATTGCTAGCCTACAGTGGAGAGAAAAAGTTTGTGAATCTCCTAGGTTGATCTGTATTTTTGTACATTTTAGTCCTAAATATAATTCAATTTTTATTGAAGTCTTAATAAAATCTTAGGATACATAATTAAATGTGTAATTTAAAGATATAAGACATACATGGATTATCTAATGAACAAAATGATCTAACAGTAAAATATTTACATGTGAAAAAGTCTCTGAACCCTTAGATTCAGTAACTTGTGGCACCTCCTTCAGCAGCAATGACTTCAACTAGATGTGTTTTCCTGCAAATGTTTTAGGCATTTGTTCCATTATTCCTTACAGTGCTGTGACATTTGAGGATTTCCTTGCATGAACAGCTCGTTTCAGATCATGCCAAAACATTTCAATGGGATTAAGGTCTGGGCTTTGACTTGGCCAATCATAAATGTGAAACTTCCTTCTTCAGCCATTCTGTTGTAGATTTGCTTGTGTCTTTAGGGTCATTGTCTTGGTGCATGACCTACTTTGGCCTCAGCTTCTGCTGATGAATAGACGGTCTGACATTCTTCTCCAAAATTTTGCTGATGTAACCCTGACTTCATGGCTCTATTAATGCTAGCAAGCTGTCTAGATCCCGAGGTACCAGAGCAGCCCCAAACTACAGTACTCCCACCACCAGGTTTGATGGTCATGATGGGTTTTTCTGATTGAAGACAGTGATTGGATTCAAATTTGTTGGAGTTATATTATTTATTTCATCTGTCTATCACAATTGTGTGTTTTTAATGCAAACAGAACTTAATGTAATTACTACAGTAGTTGCGTAACAAATTTATAGTCACTTCAGCATAAATAAAAGTGGCCGATCTCCCGCTGGGATCATTTTGAATAAAACCATGTGCACAAATAGTTTTTCTGATTAACCCACACAGCACATTTCTGTCTCTCCGACACTTTACTTCATTCTCTTCTGTTCAGATACTGTGGCAATGTTGAAAACAATATATATTTTTAAAAATTATTCTGACTTCCATGACAGTTTTCTTTACTTAGTCTTGGTCCTTGCGGTATCTTATCTTAAAATTCACTGAAGTCCTTTTTAACCGGTTCTTGTCCCTTTTAATCATCTTATAAAGTCCATCCTTTTTCGTCAAAGATTTTTTAGAATTTTTATAAAGTGTAAAATGTTTTATTATACTGTACAGTATATGCAGTATAATATCCATCCATCCATTTTCTTACTGCTTTATCCAATCTGGGGTCACGGGAGAGCCGGAGCTTATTCTGGCAAACAATGGGTACAAGGCAGGATACACCTTGGTCTAATGCCCTGTTAGACCATTACAGGCCAAACAGAGACACAGACACATGCAACACCAGGGCCAGTTTTGCCAGAAGCCAATTAACCTACCAGCATGTCTTTGGACTGTGGGAGGAAACTGAAGCACCGAGAGGAACATGAACATGACAACAAAGATAACACCCCAGGAATTCAACCCTTTGCCACAGCACCGTGAGGCACCAATGTTTGTTTTGGATTCTATTTGAACAATTTCAAAATATACCTCTAAAAAAGCCGAATTGCGTTATGATCACATTATAATTGCAGTAAAGCATAAAATATAGACATTTAGTTCAAATATTTATAAGATATCGCTGATAGCACTGGTGACAAGGGAAAGCTTAAGATATTAATATTATTTTATACAAGTTAGTCAGAAACATACACCTCCTACCTTTATTAAAACGCTTAGGTTATATCAAACTGAATGTTACTAAATGAACTATTATATTGATAGAAAGTAATTGTACATGTACGGTACATTTGCTATTCACTTAACTGCATATATAAGGTTGGGATTCAAAGCCAACAAACTCTTATGGTATTCAGCAGGCAATTTCTTTGCAGTGGTCATAATTAAAACAGTTATGGCTGAATGAACTGAGACTAAATCTCCAGGTTGAAGCACCAGTACTTACCGTATCTGACAGAGTTAAGAAGTCAGTAAAAAAAGGATTTCTTGGTAAGAAGGTTCAGTCACATGCTTTTTGAGACAACACTTGGATAGATTAAAAGTGATTAAATCTGACAGCAAATCTCCCGTGGTTTAATAGGATGTTTAATTTAAAAAACAACAACGTTAATGTCAACTGTTTATTCCTGCGGCTAATTAAGCAATGCAAGTACTGGCTGCCTAATCTAGCATGCAATCATAATTGGAACTTGGTTTATCATGATAACATGACAGTGGGTGCCTTTTTTGTGCACTTTGGAATCGCTGTAGTCATGTGTTTTCAAGTCTCGGTTCAGATCCAGCCGACACAAGAGGAGAATGAGACACGGGCAGGCTCTTCCAAGGCACCCGCCTAGGAGTCACTTGCAGTTTAGCATGACACAGTCTGCACAGCTTCACACAGGAGGGCCAGGAGTGTCCCGCACTGACATCGCTGTGAACCTCCAGGGGTTCACCCACCCCAATCAGCACAATTGTAGCCAGCTGCTTGGAGAACCCGAGTCACGGTTGACTAGTGCGCAGTGACCAAGGTTCGAATCCACAGCTCCTGCACGACAGAGCTCAATCTGCACTCCGCCCAGCACCTTCATTGGCTGAGTTCAGCCTTCTGCAATGGCATGAGTGACAGAAAGCACAGTACCATCTAGCTGCTTTTAACAAGCCTCCAGACAAAGTAACAACTGTTAGATTGAATTAGTGTTAACAAAGGAGCTGTTTACAGGAGGTTGTTCAGTTTTAGATGGCTAAGACGTTTTGTGGCACACTCAATGCAACCTCATTTATTCACACAAACTCAAATGCCCATCCTATTCATATTACAGTTAGTACCTAAGTGTCGTGTTTCAAAAATACACATATGAAGTGTCACAGTAAATGCAGTAAAAAGGATTATATCTTTTGACAACAACATGTTTTATCTCAATTGGAACTATGGGAAACCTTAACCCAAGACAGCACTCTGATCTGAACTCTGACAGACATACTGTATGTCACACAACAAAAAAAAACCTTGGAGATCAGATTTACTTGTCGTGGATAACAAAATGTTTTTTCTGTAAGCCGTGTGACTTCCCTATTTTGTCAGTCAAATCGTTTTTGTATTGAAGACAGAAGCTAGAAGGCACGGGGATAGAACCTAAATAGTTAAAAAGTAAAATAGCAAAAAAGTAAATAATAAGTTAAATAGCATTTCGGATGGACATCCATTACAGAGTAATGCAGAGTAAAATTAAAATTCATAATACTTAAGGACTTATACTTCAACTCACTTTGCCTTTTAAGCAATATGCTCACTGTAAAACAATGAATTACATGTATGATATAGGAGTTCCATGTACAGCATTGTGCCTTGCAATATAAAACATCCAGAAAATTAAAAGGGTCTGTATTAAATATGTATGTGTGCATCAAAGGGATCTAAAACCATTCAAGCATGCTACTTTTTTGCACAAAAATAATTATACAGACAGGGGGAATTCCAAAAGGATAAAAGGCTTATGTCACATTCAGTTTCATTTTTTAGAAGCTAAAAAAACCTTTTTACTGTCTGAGAATTTTTTTCAGCCCAAGTTAACAACAGGTGGCTTCATGGGATTTTTCTTTCTTACAACAATTTTGAATTATTCGGGATTCCTTTTTTGCTCCTTTTACTGTACTTAAAATTAAATAAGCAGATTCTTTTCAAAACAAATCTTTATCTCAAGAAGCAGATCATTAAACTATTTGTAAAATTTTCTGTAACAATTTGAGATCTCCAAATAATTATTAGATGGCAATTTATTTAAAAACTACAACTTATTTATTAAGAGATTTAAGGGTGTGCTTCTTTCTCCCTGTCATCTTGAATTGCAGAACTGATCTAAAGGGCTGATTATTCAGACAGAAAGGAATGATCAATTCACATGTAATAACCAGAAAAGTCATTTTTAACCT